TTTTAGACAATACGGTAAATTTTATCCTATTAAATTCCAATGAAGCTAACTTTAGTCGGTCTTTAGTTTTTTTTTTTTGGGTCTATAAAAATTATATTTCTTACCCAATTTTATTTAGATATCTATTTTATATTGACTGGGTATAAAAAAACGGGAGGTGATAGGCTATCGAATTATTCTAAATGATTGTATTGCTACCTATCGAAATTCTCCAAATTGGTCGAATATTTTGCGAGTTTTGCAAGTATTGCATTAGTATTATGTTTTCTATATTTTTTTTTACAATAAGCATTTATAGCTGAAAAATAAATTTTTAAAAATTTCATGGGAGATTGCAGGGAGAACGGAGTAGAAGAAAATCTTACGAAATCAACCCAGAGGATCCGGGGATTTAAAAAAAAATGAAAACTTTGCCTTTTTTCCGCTGTAGACATTATTCCATCAGTGTAAAACTGTTCTGGTTTCTCGGCGAAAAACTGCGAAAAGTAATTTCACAGGCTTCTCTTAAAGCCAACATTAGTACATTAGGTTAGATTTCTGCTTTAATTAGATTTCTGCATTGAGCGAAACAAATGGTAGTCCGATGGTGGAAGGTCAGAGCTATATGGTGGATGCATCAAAACTTCCCAGCCATCAAAGATGTGTGTGGTCTAGCGTTRTCCTGACGAAAGACGAAGCCTGTTCTGTTGATCTGTTCTGGCTTTTTTTTCGATTGCTTGCTTCAATCTCATCAGTTGTTGTGTCTTTCCAACCCAACCAAACACTCAATACAACCTTTCGAGGCGTCAATTCTGCAGCAAAGAATCGTAGATGTTAATTCGGTCCATTAAATTTTTTACAGACAATTCATGTGGTACCTAAACATCGAGCTTCTTTTTATAGCCAGCCTTTTTTAAATGGTTCAAAACCGTTTGATAATGAATTTTAAATTCYTTAGTGATGCCATGGYTGCTTATGTGACTTATGGTCTTGGTCAGTCTTTTCCATAACTTCATCGACTTTTTCAACGATAGTCGACCAGAGCGAGGTGCATCTTGCACATCGAAATTTCTAGAACGAAAGCGAGCGAACCATTGTTGTGCTACACGAACTCATACAGCATCGTCTTCTAAACTTCACACATTTCATTATATACATATATGTATTTCAAAATAYAGTGAATTTTTTCATTATGTTTACTCATTTTTGAACGGCTGTAACTTTTTTCAGCTTCCCAGAATTTAATTTTTTTTTATTAAGTAAAGCTGAAAATCTCAACTTTCCAACACTATATGGTATGGCACAATGTGATTGGTAGCAGTGGAGATATAAGGCTACAACGCCATCTATTGACTAAATACGACAAAACTTTTTCGACAACCCTATAAGTTTATTTGGAAAACTGATTCTTCCCCAGAAGGTAAACAAACTTCTGGATTGAAATCAATCGATTGGATATCCAACACCAATTTAATAACCCAACAACACTACCAGAGATTAATGTTAAAGTTTCTATGAGTTTCTTAAGGCCCAATGGCCAGTTTAACTGTAGTGCATGTGTGCTCTTTCATCCCTTTCTTAAGAGTTCCACGGTGTATATGTGTTAGTTTTCGCGCTAATTCATTTAATGTATTCGAATTTCGGTAGTCGCGACTTCTTGGGGATTCTTATAACCTTCTGGCTRCAATAAGATAGTTATATAACAAAGTTTAATTGGAGTTCTTACTCAGTAAGAACGAAGTGCAACTGATAGCACTTCAATTCTTTTACCAAGTCTAAATTTTAGACCATTTATGCGCCATTTAGGAACGTCACTACTGAAAATTTCTAACATTTTTACAGCCACTTAAATGTTGTGTCACATCTGATTAGCGCACTAATGTGCTGCAACAAACAAACAACAGCAACAAGAGTAAAGTGGACACATCCGGATAATGGCAATCWACCGGGACACTTAGCACCCTCATATTCGAAGCGCCGAAATCCACAGTGTGTGCAGTAGCATATTTAGAGAGCTATCGGCGCACAGAGAGAGTGCCAACGATGTAGCGCCGTTGAGGAWATATATATTTATATTACTCTTTTGTGGATGCAACAGCGCCTTTGAAATGTGATCGGCATTTTATGCTTGAAATCCAGCTGACAATTAAACGAGTGAGCGTGTAAATGTGAGTGAATGCGCGCCAACTTGGCAGCTTGGCASTGTATTGTTGAGCACTCAATTTACGATTTGACATGGGAGCACTMGCAAACCGTAGAAAAAACGAGCCGTAGTTTGTAGACGCATCAGGGGCGCTGACAAGTCTGCTTGTAGCATCAGCAACTTTTCTTGCGCATATCTACTTAGAGGCGTACAACCCAATAAGTATATATAGTCACTTACTCGTATGTAAATGATTTCACAAATATTTATGTACCARCATTTACATATACATTAGCTTCCTGAGTGGCACACCTACGGTTTGAGCCGCTGAGACGAACATGACACGGGCACAGTCACTGCAAATTGGTCTGACAGAATGTGTCAGCTGTTGACATGATCATGTTGCTGTCGCGATGATTAGTGATTGCTCTTGGCAACAGCAAAACGAAAACTCTACAAGCGCTCAAAGTAATGTACTATATACATACATTTGTAATATATGCACATATATTTAAGTGGCAATTTTTAACGTTCAGTCAAAGGACATGGCTTCGCTAGACTATTACGGCCCCGCTTTATCCTCCCAACTCTAAATGTTTTTCCGTTCGAGACTTGTCTTGTTTTGCGTACTGCGGTAGACACTATTTGTTATTTGAAATAACCTAAAACAAATAATGGAAAAATGCTTTGATCTCGCTGACAATTTGCGCACGCAACCGCTAAGTACAACAGTGTGCCCTCACCCCGCATAACACCCGCCTATCCTACACACAGATCATAGAATGCGCAGGATGCCTCCAGTGAAGTTCGACGACAGCGCATGATACTCGTATTCGGGTGTAAATTATATTAATGATGGCCCATTAGCTCCTTTGCATTTCCCTGTACTATGTACGAGTACATAATGGAGCTTCTTAGYGTTGCTCTGGTTTCTCTTTGTCGATCACTATGTGTCATTGCAGCTATGGGAGCTCAATTGAAGGGGGTAATTGACACTGACACTACTTGTAWACATATATATATTTTTTGTTATTGTTACTTTTTAAAAGTTTATTGTTGTTGTCGCTAATATGTAAGCAGAATGTTAAAGTGTTTTCAGTCGTTGACAAGTAACATTTAACGSGAAATATATGAGTATTACTTGTGTGTTCCATATGTTGGCGGTATCTTTTTACACAGTCGTTCGCGATCGGTGCTGAGATGATCCCATCATCAGCGAAATGCCACCAACGTTTGGCGAGTTTTGAGGRATTATAAGTATGAAGAGGAAACAGAAGATTTGTAAATTTACAGCAGAATGAAAAATTGTAACTAGTTCATTGTAAAAATGGATATATGTATGTATACATACCAATATTTTCTCTTTTGAATTATTAAGAGTACTTTAATTAACATTTTCGAAAATTAAATGCTGAGTGCTTTAATAAAAACTAAAGGTTTTTTGTAATATTTTATCGAAGTTTATAGTTACCAATAACCAGGAACTTTGATGAAGTACAGCCCTTTTTTTTGGGATAAATCAATAACTAAACACTCTAGAGGCATTAAATTTTACCACTTTTTGTGGTGCGAATTTGGTACGTGACATTCTTCCCACATTCCTATGTGAAATTTGGAAAAATTTCTTTCGCTTTCCAGTGTTTCTTATCAAGAAGCAATTAATATAACGAGATAAAATTTTGCACGAAATGTGCCTTTAAATTATGTCACCTTATGACCAAAACTGGTCCAAATCGAATAAAAAMTGTTTAAGCCCTTGGGTATCGAATATGTGGACCCCAGAGATGTTTGTCTAAAGTAGTATTGATGTCATTGAAACCTCGAATAACATAACGTTAACTATGTGAACGCTAATAAAAATAATTTGATTTAATAAAGTAATATTTTCGAATACATAAATGTTGGCTAGTATATACATACGAGGGTAACATTTTATATTTCGGGATTAGAGAACAAAAACAAATATTAATCATCGTAAATCGCATTATTGTTTTTCAAAATATCAAATATCTTAATGGATTGATCTGTACAATTTTGCATGTGCTTGAACCAATTGTCAAAGCACATTTGATACTCTTGGTTCCTAACGTAACAACCGCGTTTTAGGTATCGAAAAAGTTTTCTCAATCTCAAGATAGGTCACATGCTGACCTTGCAATATCGGTTTGGGCGYAGTATCAGTAGTTTCCAGTACAACAACTGTTCTACCTCTGACTTCGGTTAGACTTACCATACCATAGAAGAACACYGATCCTTTATAACACATCATCTCCAAAAATTGCATAAAGTTTATCGATGCTCTGTCTCTGAGTTAATCCACGTCGAAAGTTGTAAGAAAATCGCAAAAAAAAATGCTTCCAATTTAATTAAATTTTTTGGTCAAGATGAATATTTTAAATTACTGTAAACAATACAACTGGCGCTCGTATGTCAAACAGTTCTGAGTGTGTTCAACATAAAATTGTAAAAACACTCGGCTTACCAAATACCGTAATATAAAAGGCAACCTACATATCAACAACGGGCACTATTGATGATGACAGCGTTGAACATCCATTTTCGCATTTTTTAGATATGGATATAACAAATACAAATATACCTACATTTAGCTAATACTGAACCCTAAATGCTATATGCGCAATTAATAAAATTTTTCAGATAAATGATAAGAAGAATTATTAACACATATTCTGTGTCAGTTTCAKCATTACAAAGTTGTCATGAATTAGCGGTTTGGTTATGCATAAACTCTTTATCACATTAATTAGTTAATAATAGATATTGGAAATYAGTAGCAGGCCAGTTTTGGCAACGTTCAGACACGCGACGATCAGGGCTTAAGCATAGATAGTAATTAGATTTCCTCTGAAATCCTAAAATGCGTCCCTTGCCACCGGAATTAGCGAAAATCGCACGAGAAGAATTGAACGAGATACCGGAGCGTGTGCACCAAGATTTGGTTATATTGCGRACATGGATTTATCAGCAGCGATATTTGTATGCGCGTACATCGACGGACTTCCTGATTGCCTTCCTCAGGCGTTGTCGCTACAGTTTGGAGCAGACAAAGAAACGCATTGATGACTTTTTCACATTTCATACAAAGTGTCCGGAGATAATGTCGAATCGTCGTGTGACAGAGAAAATGTTAACCATCAACCGCTTAGGGTAGGTATAACCAGAGTTACTTCTTAATTTTTCTAATTGTAACTGGGTATATTTTTACAAATAAAGTGTGCGGCCTCTATACCGAGTTCTGAAGTGCATCTCTAATAGCATTCCTAACTTGGTATTTAGTTRAAAATATCCATAAAAATTTCAAGTTTCACATAAAGTGTCTCAAAAAACTTTATTCTGTCCGAAAAAAATATGATAAAAACGTAGAAGCAAACATACATAYATATATTTGTAACATTTATTTATGTCTACTCCACAGACTTCAATATTTCCCGGAATTTCCTAGATGCAGTGATCACTCTGCAATTATGATTACCCGACTCAACTGTTGCCCCAAACGGTACCACATGCGTGATGTTATGGCTTACACTGCGATAGGTATGGAACTGATAGCACTAGAGAACGATAATGCTGCTATTGTAGGGGTTATTCAAATAATCGATTTGTCCAATCTGGATGTTGAGCATGCGGCTCAATTGAGTGGCGGTCTCTTAAGGAAATGGTGGTATTGGATGAGTGATTGCTGCCCCTTGCGCATAAATGCAACCTATTGCTTGAACGCGCCCAAAGAACTACAAAATTGGTTAGGTGTCCTGAGAACACTACGCGTCAAAATGTGTCCGGTAGAGTATTTGTAAAAAATACCTATACAAATTCACATTAGTAAATATTTGCCTTCTCTTTCAAGCAGCAGTTCTTTATTCTGAAATCTTTGGAAGAGCTGTATCAATATATTCCGCAGAAATGTTTACCTGAGGAATATGGTGGCACCAATGGGCATATGCATGAGTGTGTTTCGTACATGGAAGATTTGCTGAAGAGCTATCGTGACTATTTTGAAGATGAAGTAAATTACGGCACTGTTGAACATTTACGAAGTGGTGAGATTATGCCATATGAAGCGGAGTTTGGCGCAGAAGGCAGTTTCCGTAAATTGATTTTCGAATAAAAATTATTGGAAAAGGTATATATGTATGTATGTACATATGCAAATATAAATATTAAATTGGATCCACATATGTTTTAATTAAATATCTATTTGTGAGTTACAGTAAATTTTACAAATAAAAAACCACATTTTCCTATAAGGCAAACTACGAGTATTAATTACATAATATATTTACTTAT